CCTTGCCTACATCTTCAAATGCAGAGGTGCAGGTAGGACTCGCATTTTCCCCTCTCCAGACTTGCAGACATGCCTGGGGAACTCCTTCTGCAGCCTTTAACTACCTGAAGTGGGGTTTGAAAGAGGATGGAAACTGTTCTCAGTGGTGACAGATGAGAGAACAAGGATCAATGGTCTCAGGTTGCAGCAAGGGAAGTTTAGGTTGGATATTAGGAAAAACCATCTCACTAGGAGTGTGGTGAAGTAGTGGAACGGGTTACCTAGAGAGATGGTAGAATCTCTGTCCTTGGCAGTTTTTAAGGCCCAACGAGACAGCTTTGGCTGGGATGATCTAGTTGGGGCTGGTCCTGCTTTAAGCAGGGGGTTGGACTAGATCAGGGATGGGCAAAATGCGACCCGTGGACTTTATACGGCCCACCAGGCCATTCTGTCTGTCCCACAGGGCCCCTAAAAAATTTAGAAAATTAATATTTATCTGTCCCTGACTGCCTGTCATGCAGCCCTCGATGGCTTGCCAAAACTCGGTAAGCGGCTCTCCATCCAAAATAATTGCCCGCCCCTGGACTAGATGACCTCCTGAAATCCCTTCCAACCCTAATTTTCTATGATTGTGCAGGGGATTTCTCAGGCATGCCTACAAGCATGGAGTAGGAGGATCTATCTCCCTATGGAGGAATTTCCCTCCCTCCCAATAGCAGACATGTACCCCAAAACCCTGACTGCTTTACTTCCCCTACTTACCCCTCCTTACACATGTGGGCAAGTGAGGCAAGTGCTCCCAGGGCTTGAGGGGACTGATACTGCCTGGGAAGGTCTGAGGTGTGCAGGACTTGGGCCCCTTAAGCCTGAAGAGCTCCTTTCCCAGGGAGGCTGCAGAGCCCAGATAGCTTCACACTGCCTGAGCTCTTCCACCATTAACAAACAAACTTGGGCCACTATAAAGCAGCTCAGTTTGTTACCTTCTGTCACAGCCACAAATCTGGCATTGTAGTATGTTGCTGGTGGGATTTGAAGTGGGACATGAGCATCTCTTCGGGGTCTCTTCCCTCTAATTTCAGCTTTAGTTGGGAGGAGCTTTAAGAGGGGGATAAAGGGGCTTTTTGTGCATGGAGTAGCCTGCACAAATCCCCGACTTTCAGGTTTTGTATCTGAAACAATAGCCATGACTGTTTTGTCAGTTAGGACTACACAGATCTAAAACAGTATAACACTGTAAGTCACTGAGGATCGTATTTTAAATACCATTCCTTTGCTGAAAATAAGGTGCTGGGGGGAAATCTACATGCAACATTCCCCTTGCATTGGGGGGATGTTGTAGATGCACAGGGGAGATACTGAGCATCTTGACAGATAAATCCCACACTGGAGATCATGAGACTATATTAAAGTAGGGAGGAAGGGTACAGTTACCTCTGATATCCAGCACTCTGGGCTGCCGATCGAGGTTAGCATAAATGTGGAGAAGTCCAAAGTAACATCATTTAATGGTTGGTAGAGCAGGGATGTAGTTGTGTGCCTTGCAAGGGAAATTGGAGGCCTTCAGCATATAGATATTAAATTACACCCAGAAATAAATTAGATCAGTTCACTGCATCACTTCTCATTTCCTAAATGCCTTCACTGAGGACTTCAGTTGATTTAGTTGTCAGTCTGCTGTTCACCTGGGAAAGATGAGACGCAGTGAGCTAGGCACCCACCCAATTCTCTGATTCAAGCTCACTCTTTTTTTCTTCCTTGTTCCTTTTCCTTACCCGTGCCATACCCTCTTACTCTAGTGGAAGAGAGGAATGTAAACCCTAATCTCAGTTATACAATGTGTGCAGTTGAGCCCAGTATTTATCGGCACTGACAGGTCTGAGGTGGCTAGCATTCCCAAGTATTGTGTGCTTATGTGTATACTAGTGTGTCAAGAATGATGTGGCGGGGGAGAAGCTTGCTAACCTTAAGTCGGATTTCCCCCCCGCGCCGCTGCTGCCTCCCAGGAGCAGGGCTGAGGGGAA